CAAAAGCATATACCATCCATTGACCCTTTGCAGGAAGCTTGATTAACAGGCGATCTGATCAATCATAATGCCGAATCTGCCATTTTGTCCCAAAAATAAAAAAATAAAAAAAAACAGAAAGGAGAGTAGATTAACGTCGGTGGACTGGACTTTAACTTGAAAAATGGTGTGTATTGACATGTTTCTGTGGTTGAAACAAAATATCTTCTGATGTTCAGTCATGTTTATTTTGTGCTATAACTAGTAAAGAGCAAGAGAAGATCGGTTCACGTGCTGCTTATAACGAGGAGCTACTGCGATCTGTCATGACACATTAAAGAGCCACAAAATGGTATTTATTGTTAAATTTCATTTAAAAAAAAAGACTAAATTTGAAAGCTGAGACTTTGTTTCATACTAAAAATAACCTGCTCTGTCTTGTCTGTTGGTGCGTTGTCAGTCTCCTCTTTGCTCCACGATGTATTTTTCACTGCATGAGAACATGATGTGTGGAGTGAGATCACCGTGGCTTGTCAGACATAGGAACAGTAACGAAGGGGGGCAGGTCTTTGCAAAGGGTCAATTAACAACAGCATAGTTCAGAGTAGGTCTGTCTTTATCAGTTAAGTTATTGTTAAAATAATAATAAACATTTTTAAAAAAAAACAAGTCTTTATGACCCCAAACTTTTGAACTGTACTGTATCTAGATTCTGATTTGTTGTTAAAATTATAGTGAGTGATAGTGTTAAAAGCATTAGTAAGAGTAGGTTAAAAATGACAAACCAGTCAGTAATGTTTTGCATCATATTCCATCATTTTCTTTGAAAAATGTTTGTGCATAAAGTTTTTATGGATTTATACTATCTATGTATTACTTGTATTATTGCAAATTAAAAATGTCTATTTCAAAGACATTGCAATTTTTTATTGCAGTTTATATATTGTTTATAAATAATATAATATATTTAAAAATATATTGCTAAAAATAAAGCTTCAAAAAATTTTTTTGTTGTATGAACAGTAAAGATGTTTGCAGGGCACAACTGGAGTTATCATGCCCTATTTTTCATACATGGTAGCGTATGTAATCCCACCTATTCACTAATGAAGACTAAGTGGGATTATGCCATTTACCAGAGTTTTTTGTTGATGAGCTTCACTGAGGCTTCGTAATCTAACTGCAGTGGTAGGTTAGAAATGCTCTTGCCCAGTCTAGCCATTTGACCTTGAGGCAGCAGGAGAGTGCCATTAGAAACTCATCTGCTATGCCAAGTCTTTTTCCTGTCCATGAACGGCATCCATGGCCAGTTATTGTCTAAACACTTGGACTGATTGTACATGCTCAGTTGGAAAGCAAAAAAATCGAGGCACATCTTTGTTGCATGTAATTGTTCTCTGAAAATTATTTTAATTACACATTTTTCTTTTCTCCTTTCACTCATTTTTCTTCATAGTAGAGCATTGCATTGCTTTGATGTCAAAAATGCCTACCCAAAATGTTTCCTGTGGTGAAGTGTAGGAATTATTTTTTTATTTTCTGACAGATCACACACACATGGCCACATACAAAATTATTTCAATTACTTAAAGTTGCACTAGAGGCATGAAAAATCGTAATGGATTCAAATCTTGAAGGCACCGTTTGTTCTTGTCTGATTCATCTTTAGATCCTTCTATACATCCAACTGTTCATCCATTAATCCTGCACTTTAGACCCAAAAGAGAGGATTTTTAGCCTGCCATGTCTCAATAAACAAGATAAATGGAAAAGATTAAGTGACCATACATGAAATTGCACAGTCAGAAATTGCACAGTTTTCCTGTAATGACGACTTTTTTCCTGCTGAACTGAGAGGCCGTCCCCTGTGGTTGACAGTGACATGTCAATCGTTTGTGATAAGTAGTTAAATCATCACTCAGCAGCCTAAGGGTTCACGTAAACCCTTGAATCGAATCTGCTGTATGTTTTGCTGTTGCTGGTTTGTTTTTTAGTATGACCAGCATGTCTCTGAGCTGCATTATGTGATGTTGGACAGGTAACCCAGGGAGATTTTGAAAGATCACATTGGAAAATAATTAATGCTAGCCTTCATTCACCATATGTACAGTATATGAACAAAAACACATTAAATCAAAAGATAAAGGCATATGATGTAAACACTGCAGCACTTTCTCATCTAGATGCTATGAACAGGTGTTTTGTGTCATAACTGTTACTATCCGATGTATGTTAATACCGTATTGGCCCGAATATAAGACGACCCTGATTATAAGACGACCCCCCCTTTTTCCAGATGTACCTTTTGGAAAATCGTCTTATATTCGGGACAATACGGTAATAATAATAATTATTATTATTAATTCTAATATTAATTAATATTATTTTGTAATATTTTAGATTTATTTTATGTTAATATTAATATACGTTTATATTACAATTATTTTAATTTATATATTTTCTGTTTGTGTGATAATATAATTAGCTTTTTATCTATTTTACTCTAGTCAGGTCTGTGACTTCTTTGAACAACAACATTTATTGTCTCTGGATAAATCTCTGGATTGCATGTTTCAAAAACAAAAATGAGTCTTTAATCTACTCTAATGTGCCTCCTCTCAGCGGTGAAACATGAGCCCAGTCAGTTGCTTTCATTTTGTTAAATGGTCCATTTTCCCAGAAATAATTTTCCTCAAACCTTCCTAATATCAGCTCAGTGCATCTCAAAGCAAGGCTCTCATAACAAGGAGATACTCCTTTGCATTTAGCTGAGGAGCTATTAGAACGCCAAATAAATGCAGGAGTCCTCATGGAGCTGAAGTTGTTCGGACCTGCTGAATTTGACATGGTTTTCTTCTGTTAAACAATAAAGCTTCAGTGTAAGTTCACTTTCCTTTTTCTTTAAGTTTTGCACAACACCATAAGGAGAAATAACAAGTAGTTATTAATAATTTTTTTTAAATGTAATAAAAGAGGATGGCAATAAATGAGAAAACGTGTTTAAATAGTAATGTAAAGTGCTGTTTCCATAAAAACTGATTTACAATTATGCTCATATCTTACCCTTCACAGTCTCTGATTCAATAAAATGCACATGGAAATTGTGTTAGTGGAGACTTCCCTCCATTTCCACGTACCAGAAGGCATTACCTATATAAAGGAGGGAAATGAGACATATACTGTTACTCATTAATCTGAATTTGACACAGGAGGTAACAGCAACAAAATCTGCATATTTCCAGGCTGATCTGTTTAATGAACATTCATTAGATATATGACACACGTTATTGTCATAATAGAGACAGATTGTCATTGAACTGGGAAAACTGTAGTAAATCTCTGAGGGTTGTAATTCTTTCTTTCTTTCTTTCTCATTGGCTTGTTAAAAGCAGCATCTAATGCTTCCATCATTTCGACTGGTTTTTGGTGTTGTGGTGTTTGCTGAGATGTCTTTGCCGAGCAGAAAGCTGTTTGCCTAATGGCCCTTTCCCATGGTGAATGTTGATGGCTACAGTGCTGCCTTCAGATGCAGAGATGCATTGTTTATTCATCAAAAATAATATTCTGAGAGTCTCTCTCACACGCACCGGTTATAGACTGATTAATGCTTTCATTTAATTACATTAGCAATGCATCTATTTAAATAGTTGTTTTGATTTTTGGAGATCAAACATAGCACCTGGCTTTGCTCTGTATTTAAATTGAAAGCGTGCTTGTGAACTCCATGTTATTATCATGTAGGCCCTGGCAACGCTTTTCCTCCTGCTGCAGTCTGGATGCAAGTGTTGGCTATTGCATTATTCCATTATTCCATTTAACTGTTACAACAACCATTATATGTATTCTTAGGTTCCTGTTGTACAAAAGTACTGCAGATTGTCAGGCAGTATTGGATTTAAGTCTTTTTCAGAGCAAGTTACCTTAAAATCATTGTTCTCATAATTTTTAGAGCAGATGGCCCTCTCCCATTTGGCACATTTGATGTGCATTCATAGTCTTCTGCATGTCTGTGAAGTCTACAAGATCATAAAGCAGGACCGTTCTATAACTTTACCAGCAAGGAGCCAAAACTGAATATTTTCAGGGACATGCCTGCCAAAATATTCTGTGTCGATGAAAAGCTGCTCTCTATAACATAACTTAAATATCAGTTTTTATTTCATTTTTAATTTAAAAATGTTTAGTCAAAATATAGTTAAATATAAACTTTAATTAAATTACTTTAATAGATCCACAGAATAAATCTTTATTATTAAATGTATGTACACCACCAATATACACTACCAATACATTTATCAAAAGTTTGGGGTAAATAAGATTTTTTAAAATGTTTTTATGTTATGGGCACCAAGGCCGCAGTGATCAAAAATACAGTACAGCCAGTAATATTATGAAATATTTTTACAATATAAAATAACGGTTTTCTATTTTATTATATTTTAAAATATAATTTATTCCCGTGATGGCAAAGCTGAATTTTCAGCAGCCATTATATGCCAGTCTTCAGTGTCACATGATCCTTCAGAAATCATTTTAATATGCCGAATTGCTGTTCAAGAAACGTTTTTATCAATGTTTATCAACAGTTATGGAAACCATGATACTTTTTTTTCAGGATTCTTTGATGAATAGAAAGTTCAGAAGAACAGCATTTATTTGAAATAAAATAATTTGCAACATTATAAATGTCTTTACTGTTACCTTTGATTGATTTAATGCATCCTTACTGAATAAAAGTATTCAATTCTGTCAATGTTTGAATGTTATATAATATTATATTACATTATATTATATTATTTATATATATTTTTTATGTGGCCTTTCTTCTATAGCAAAGTGAATGTTGTCTTTGTCATTCCACAAAGACTAGTGATTTTTGGTATTATACATGAGATAACTATTCATTTCCCTTTGGAATGTTTTATATAAGCCAGAAAATTGCATTTGTTCACTCAGATGCCATCATCATTTTTATGTTCTCTCTTAATAAATATCACTAACTCAGAAATCTTCTCATCCAGGTTCCCATGACTCCTTTAGTTTTTACATCGACGAAGCCTCACCAGTTGGGCCGGAGCAGCCTGAGACCGTGCAGAACTTTGTCTCTGTGTTTGGCACAGTGGCCAAGAAGCTGATGAGGAAGTGGTTGGCGACACAGACCATGAACTTCACCAGCCAGCTGGAGGCGGGCATCCGCTTCTTTGACCTCCGCATATCCACCAAACCCAGAGACCCCGACAACGAGCTCTACTTTGCACACGGCCTGTTCAGCGCCACCGTACGCGAAGGCCTGGAGCAGATCAGCACCTTCCTGGCCTCCCATGCTCGCGAGGTCGTGTTCCTGGACTTCAACCACTTCTACGGCGTACAGAACCTCCATCACGAGAAGCTGGTCCAGATGCTGCGCACCATCTTCGGAGACCGACTCTGTCCAGTAGTGTTTGCTCAAGAGGTAAGCCTGAAGTACCTCTGGGAGAAAGAGTATCAGGTGCTGGTCTTCTATCACAATCCCATGGCTCTGGAGGTTCCTTTCCTGTGGCCTGGTCAGATGATGCCTGCTCCTTGGGCCAATACCACAGATCCCGAGAAGCTCATTCAGTTCCTTCAAGCCTCAGTAAAGGATCGGAGACGTAAGGGCACCTTTTTTGTGTCCCAAGTGGTTCTCACTCCCAAAGCAAGCACCGTCATGAAGGGTGTCACCAGCGGTCTGAGGGAGACCATTACAGAGAGGTAAGCTATTGTACACTGTTACAAAATCCATTCTGTGAAATGGTTGGCATCAAAGAACATGCTGACTCATTAGATCTCACTCTCCGTTATCTTCAAATCAGCACTAGGCAGATTTTTTACAGTCCCAATTTAATCTCATTACAGTTATTAGCCGTTGCTCAGAGTCTCTTGGGTTTCACTGATCAGGATTTGTCAGGCTTGGTTAGAAACATGAAACTCTTGGCAGAAAGCAGATTTCGAAATGGCTCTGGATGACAGAACAACATATCCAATGCATTAATTCAAATGACTGAGAGGGGGTCTTTCTGCTTCCTGCATGGAATACATTGACATCTGCGGCTGTCAGAGGATGATCTTCTGTTATTCCTTCTCGCCCATCAGCAGGCATGATATATTGTGTGCCACTGGGCATGCAGCTAAGCACAGCTATAATAACTAGGTGTTGGAATTGTAAAGGAATTGAATAATTAGATTCCTCTCAGTGATTCTGGTTTCCTAAAGGAATGATTCTTTTCGTATTTCTGAGGAAGAAATATTTGGAAAATATATTTTTTTCCAGCTGATTAGATAATAAATATTTGTAAAACAATTCTTGCAAAATATGTTCTTACCCAGACGTTTAAATGACTCTTCATAGTCTTATCACAGATGCTGTACATAAAATTGGCGTTATATATGCAATACTAAATACTGAAAAAAGCGTTAGAATTTTTAATGCATTTATTAATTTTTTTAAAAATACCACCGACACACTTCCCCACATATTTCTGCAGTATCCAGTATGTATACTGTGCATAGTATGCAAACTTTCTATATGCATGGAATACCTAGATGACCTACTATATTTGCCAGAATCTGCTAAATATAACTCAAGTCCACTGAAATCAGTAAAGAAGCTGTGTTTGGAATGATATACTACCATACAACTCCTACTATATTGCAGTATGCTATCTGTACAGTGTACTGTGAATAGTATGTGAATTTTCTGTATGCATGGAAGTTCTGGATTACCCACTACATTTGCTGAAATCTGATGTATGCATCTGAAGAAACTGCATGGGATACTGTTTCCCACAACGCAACGCGCTCCATGTGACGTTTCATCTTCAAATGCGTGAAAAACAATATCGTTGGTAGGACATAAACTGCACCTCAATCTCAACGGCACGTTGATCAAGTCAAATGATGTCACCTTTATCTCTATAGCACTTTATACAGTACAGATTTTTTCAAAGATATTAAATAACAATAATATTGCAGTAATATATAAATAACACATATAAATAAAAATAATATTTCAATTATGCAAACAGAATTAAATTCAGCTGTAAAGCAGCTCTAAAAAGAAACAGTCTTTATTTAGGTACAAATAGCCCAATTTGTTGGCAGAAGCTATTTACATAAGCTCTGCTCACCAATGCCTGGCTGCGATAAATAGCATTGCCAAAGGCCGTAGTTTATCTGTAGTATCAATTGCGTAGCGAGTAAGACGTGAAATGATTGCTTTTGACTCAATCGACTCGAGTTTGAATCCGCCTTTTGCCAAACTCGTTCTTCTCCTTTTCCTTTCTCCTTTTTCCTATCAGGCCAGAATGGCAATTATTTTCAATAAAAATAAAGGAAATATTTGAAAAGTGGAAATAAAATGCCTCATTAATAATACAGTGTTATTGGATATGGTTAGCGGTAGGTGTAGGGAAGGCTTTGTCCAAATAAGGCGGCATCCATTTAATAATATTAATAAATATGATAATTTACACTCAATACGTTATTGCATGCTGTTTGATAATGTACTACAGTACTGAAGTATAAATATCTGCCACCTAACTACTATTTACACTTAGCCTATTGCTAAAGAAAATACTGCAATTTTAGTGTAAACAGAATTTATCATTATTTGCACTTAATGTAACTAAATATATCCACTTAGTGTAACTGCCAAAAAGAAAATAATAATTGTTCAGTTAAAGACAACTCAGTGTTGATTCAGTTCTGTTCAATATGTAAAGTTCATTAATTATGAAATGAGTTTAGTTGGGCAATAGCACTGTTTACTAGTATGAACCCTTATTAACAAAACTTTGTAAAAAGAAGGGTTAGCAGCACATTTATTTGTAAGGTAACAGGCTCGACATTTTTGTCAGTTTATTGTGTCCTTGCTGAATACAAGTATTAATTTATTTAAAAAAAAAAAATCTTTCTGACCCTGGCCCAAACTATTGAACAATAGTGTAGATTCAGTAGCAGTGTTGCTGGTACCAATGAATAGATGACAGAAGAATTTGTGTGAACAGAACCGACCATCGTTTGGTCAAGGTATTTAAAAGAGTGGAACCATATCTGAACTGTAATCACACCTTATGATACCACCTTCATGCTATCCACATACGTAGCTGATTCCCCCTGGGTATTTGATGAGGAGCAGCACATTATTTCTGCTTCGTGTAAATGGAACATTAGCTAAAGGGCAGAGCTAACACCAGTGTTAGTCACCCTGGTTACTGGAAGACTCATTCAGAAGTCTCATCTCAGCATGTAGCAACATCTCAAGCATCAAATCTCTATTTTCTAAGGAAAATGCACACTTTGGTCATACGTTTAAGTTCATTTTATCCAGGCCAAAGCCAATGTCATAGTTTGGTCGAATCGAATGTGTCTTTATTTTTTGCATCGACTGTGCTGATGGCAAATTAATTATAGATGAGGGAGGAGGTGGGGCACAGAGAGTAAAATGATATGGCCTCTGCCAGCACACTGCAATCTGAAGAGGAGGAGCTGGGGATGGAGGAGGGTAATTAGATAGAACAATGATGTCCGATACTCGAACAGAATCAATGCTGAACCGACCTCACCGAACAACACCTGCTTACCATTTACTCCCCGGAGCCGTGCCACAGCAGAAATAACTCTGCCTGCACCACGATCGTTATTTCCTCTCTGTCACCGCAAAGCTGCCCGAATCTGTGCTGTATACTGCTATATAAATAAAGGAGACCAGACTTGATAGGTTAAAGCACAGCATGTTGCAGCAACATGCATGTTGCCAATGACAACAGATAATAACGCACATTGCCAATATGATTGTGTAAGTCTAGCATAAGCATTTTACTGAAAACGGAGGAGGTGGGGCACAGAGAGTAAAATGATATGGCCTCTGCCAGCACACTGCAATCTGACAAGCATGGCATCTTATTAGCTGATAAAGGCTTCTAGCCCTTGGATCGTCTGGGAGTGAGCAGCAGAGCATGAGATAACTCCTGAGTCATAGCCCTCACAGGAATGAGTCTGTGTCTGCTGATGTGACCCCACTTCTGGTGCATCACCACCTGCAGACAATTTATAGACAGATCTAGCAAACATTGCATATTAGATTTGTTCCAAAATTGAGTGAGCTGCCTGCCTAGACAGTATCCTAGTCACACAATTTAATTATGCTTCCTGCTAAGACTAGGAAAGCCCATTTAAGCAACATAAGAAAAAAAATATTGCTTTGGTAAATAATTATGACATACAAATCATAATTGTGACATAATTATGACATTAAACGTTCAAAGTTATAACATAAAATACAATTATGACAAAAACATGAACTAATTTCATAATTTTGACTTATGTCGTAATTTCAACTTTTATCTCTTATTACTTATGTCCTAATTTTGACTTTTTAATTTCAGAATTATGACTTCTTATCTCATACTTTCAATTTTTGTTATAATTATGACTTGTATGTTATAGTTACTGTTTAGCAAAGCATGATTGGTTTTCTTACGTGACAAAAAGTGAAAGTTATGACATAAAACAATTATGACAATAAAATATAAACTTATAACAAAAAGTTGAAACTATGAGACAAAAAGTAATAATTATGACAAATGAGTCATAATTATAGAATAGTTCAAATTATGATAAAAGATTGACTTTGTCATAATTGACTTTTTGTGTAAAAATTGATGTTTAATTTCATAATTTGACTTTTTATGTCATAATTTCAACTTTTATCCCATAATTGACTTATGTCCTAATTTTTACTTAGTATCTCATAATTACTATTTAGCAAAGCATGATTTTTTTTTCTTATGTGGCGAAAATATGCTTCCATATAAGATACCTCATTTTGACCACATTTTAAGACAACATTGCATGTATCCTTCAGGGTGAATATAGTCCCAGGATGCACAATGAGATGGCAGACGATACGAGAGAAATGTTGATTATAAATATACTCAAAATTCATTAAATTCTGAAAAGTATCAGTGAGAATATTTTAATAATTGAAGAATTATTTTACATTAAAATAATAATTAATTTATAAATGAACTTAAATAACTAATAAAAGTAATTTAAAACTAATTAAAGACTATTATCAAAATGTATATATTTTTGCTTATTAAAGTATTGCATCATGATGCAAATCACTTGTGATTTGAGACTGTTGTGTACTTTGCATGGGGAGCACTATTTATATGGAATACAGTGTTGCAGCTGACATTCCGAATTGGTCACTTATAAAGTTACATTCCTGTCAGGACCACTATCGTCAAAGATGATTGACAATTGCAGTTTGGATTGGTGGTATGGTTCTGTTCTGGGCAAGAACTCCCTGCGCATCGATGCAGCCTAGCATGGATAAGAGCATATGATTGTGTAAGTCTAGCATAAGCATTTTACTGAAAACGACTAAATAAGCCTAAGCAACATGGATAGCCTTAGCAACAAGCGTGTTGCCAATAACCTGAGAGCATTAAAAAGGAACTTAGCTTAGCTTCGTGAAGACATTCAGAGGTGAATGGAGAGTGAAACATAGCCAGCTGTGATGTTGATGCTTGATCTCTTAATATCCTTCTTCATGCGGGGAGTGCAGATCCCATCTGAACTTGTTCTTGAGTCACTCACATTAGTATAACTCATGGAGTCCATGTCAATTGCAGCGATGTGAGAAGCAATGTAACTCAGTCACTTCCAAATCGGCAGCTTATAATCAATGTGGCGAATTCACGTATTCAAGTTCACAAACTTGAATGAATCTGAGGTAAAGTCCATGGGGGGAACGAATTTCTCACTAAATTCCCGATTGCACAATTCCTAGTGAGATGATGGGGTTTGGCTGCCGAATTCGCCATTTAATTAGCTATTGAGCCAATGCGAAAGCTGCTGATAATACTGAAGGACATTATATATGGATGCTGTTATAGACGTTGTATCCCTATAGGTAGGCGTGGATCTACTGAGAGTCAGCTGATGCAAGCTTGACTGATGTGAATTGCCAGAACTAACGCTACGCTTGATTTCAGTCAGGATGCCACCTTAAAAGGCAGCTGCCTATGTAGGCAGCAGACAGCGAGGCAGCTCACTATATTTTGAAACTGAGCTACTGTGTTCGCTGATGTTCGATTTGGGAACAAATCCCCTTAGATTGAAACAGACTGTATGTATGTGTTTTCTCAGGGCTCTTCCTGGCATGATGCAGTGGATCCGCTCACAGCGACCTGGGGAAAGTGGAGTAAACATCATCATGGCCGATTTTGTGGAGCTGGGGGAATTTATCAGCGCTGTTATCACCCTCAACTACTACCTGGATGATGAGGAAGAGAACGCCACCTGAACCTCCAAATTTCCCACATCGCTTGTGGTATCAATTACTTGCTCCCTCTCTCTTTGCCATATTTATATGTTTTATTGATTTTTATTGATTTTTTGGATCATAGAGGCTCTGTTCGTCTGACATTTTTAGGGCTAATGAAAGCCTTGAGAATGATAGTAGAGACCAGACACGGTCAGGTGGAATAATTTCAGGTTTTGTCTGAGGATGAATGGGGGCAGTTGGTAATTTAATTTCTTTCTGGGCAAAAAAGCTGACTGGCCTTTTCCCATGTTTCTCTGCTTCCTATCTATTGGACTACTAGTTACTGATTCACATGCTCGAAACCTTGATAAGTTCCCCCAATTCTGCTTCTGATCAAAGTAACAGTAACATTAACTCATTTCATGGGAATAAATATCGTTTGTACAGTGAATGTGATGCTGAATCTATAGTAGGTTTATTTCTAGTGGTCATAGTAACTTGTATGATTGTCGAATTGTAAATACTTGTAAACCTGTTGAATTGTAACTTTGCTCACTATTTGTCATGCCCGAACTTACGTCAAGAGTTGAGGTTCCCTTCGGGGCCTCGGTCTGGTCTTACAATGTTGAAGAAGTGAACTATTAGATGTTTGTATTCACAACCAAAAATTGCAATTGTATGTAACAGCATTTTTGCCTTTCTGCCATTATCAACACTAATAAGTGAGGCTTTGTATCTACATTTTTGTAGTCATCCTTTACTTTATCCAACAGATTCTTTTATATATCCGTGAACAACATAAATATTCTTTGCATTTGCACTGTTGTGACTGTGGACTGTTAAAGAGTGGCCACTGAAGTTGCAGAACCACCCCCCCCATACAATCCATCACTTAATAATGCACAATTTGCATTCAATCATAAACATGCATACATAAACAAACAAACACTCAATGCTGAATCTATAGTAGGTTTATTTCTAGTGGTCATAGTAACTTGTATGATTGTCGAATTGTAAATACTTGTAAACCTGTTGAATTGTAACTTTGCTCACTATTTGTCATGCCCGAACTTACGTCAAGAGTTGAGGTTCCCTTCGGGGCCTCGGTCTGGTCTTACAATGTTGAAGAAGTGAACTATTAGATGTTTGTATTCACAACCAAAAATTGCAATTGTATGTAACAGCATTTTTGCCTTTCTGCCGTTATCAACACTAATAGGTGAGGCTTTGTATCTACATTTTTGTAGTCGTCCTTTACTTTATCCAACAGATTCTTTTATATATCAGTGAACAACATAAATATTCTTTGCATTTGCACTGTTGTGACTGTGGACTGTTAAAGAGTGGCCACTGAAGTTGCAGAAACCCCCCCCATACAATCCACCACTTAACAATGCACAATTTGCATTCAGTTGTAAACATGCATACATAAACAAACAAACACACACACAAGAGACTCACTTAATGGGTGTGAACAGACTTATTATAACACCATTTTCTAATTAGCCAGACTAATTGGGTAAATGGCCATGCTAATGTTTTAATCACACAGATGCGAAGTAATTGAATTTGTTCAATATATTACATTGGGAAACAGTGTCCCACACTGCTGCCTTCTCCTTTTTACAGTCATGTGGCACTGAAAAATCAACTCAGAAAGTTTGCAGCATTGTTTGTTCATTGAAGTGTTTAAATCATGTTAAAGGGATAGTTCACCCAAAAATGAAAATTTGATGTTTATCTGCTTACCCCCAGGGCATCCGAGATGTAGGTGACTTTGTTTCTTCAGTAGAACACATTTGATGATTTTTTACTTTAACCGTTGCAGTCTATCAGTCATGGCAATGGTAACAAAATCTATGAGAGTAAAAAAAACATGCACAGACAAATCCAAATTAAACCCTGCGGCTCGTGACGACACATTGATGTCCTAAGACACGAAACGATCGGTTTGTGCGAGAAACCGAACAGTATTTATATCATATTTTATCCCTAATACACCACTATGGCCAACTGTCTTTGGGTGCGTGCACGGCATCCGGTGCGTGAGGTGTGTACGCGCTCTGGTGTAGTTTACGTTCATGGGTGTGTTGATATCCAGCCGAAGAGCAATCAACCATAAGTTCAGGCGAGCAGGCTCAGAAGTTGGGAATACGTGGAAAGTCACCACTCCCGAATGAGTTCGCGCGAGAGAACGTAATCTTTTAGTTTTAAGTCGGTTTGAACAATCCGGATAAGCGCAAGTAAGTACCATTTTGATTAGCCGTCGTACCTACAATGTTTGTGCACTGTGTAAACAATGAGTGAGGTATACGCGCGAGAGATCACTTCCGGCGCTTGCGTAAACTACGCCAGAGCGCGTACACACCTCACGCACCGGATGCCTGCGCGCGCTCAAAGCAGTTGGACATAATGGTGTATTAGAGGTAACATATGATATAAATACTTTTCGGTTTCTGGCACAAACCGATCGTTTCGTGTCTTAGGACATCAGTATATCGTCACGAGCCGCAGGGTTTAATTTGGTTTTGTGTGTGTATGTTTTTTTGACTCAGAGCTGTGATTCCCATTCACTTCCATTATGTGACTGACAGACTGCAACGGTTTGAGTTAAAAGTCTTCGTTTGTGTTCTACTGAAGAAACAAAGTCACCTACATCTTGGATGCCCTGGGGGTAAGCAGATAAACATCAAATTTTCATTTTTGGGTGAACTATCCCTTTAATGTGAGAATCCCATGGTCAATCTGGAGCATGGACTTGTGTGAATGCATTAATCATGCCTTTGTACAGTATAAAATTGCATGTAGTTGTCTAGGTCGATAAATTGTACGTAAACTTTCTATGGGTAATGTATATGTCCTAATCTAACATTTCTGACAAATCTGGTGTACAATAAATGTAAATACTGCATATATAGACCACATAGTGTGTTTTTTTTAAAATTATTATTCAAAAATACATTAAAATGCAGTTCAATACATTCAATGACTTGAATACAGCTTTTCTATGACAATCAGAAAAATTGATAAAACAGGAAGTGATGTCTTAGAGAGGACCCCTATAGACCCTCAGGATTGTGTGTCAAGATCAATAGGTCTCTCAAATTCAGTTAATTTGAAAATTTTTTTATGACAAGGCAAGGTTAGTTCAGGTTATAAAATGTAATGTGGTGTGACTCCTCAACAACTGCATATTATTTATGAATTAATCATTCTAAATGTAAATACTGCATATATAGACCACATAGTGTGTTTTTTTTTTATTATTATTCAAAAATACATTAAAATGCAGTTCAATACATTCAATGACTTGAATACAGCTTTTCTATGACAATCAGAAAAATTGATAAAACAGGAAGTGATGTCTTAGAGAGGACCCCTATAGACCCTCAGGATTGTGTGTCAAGATCAATAGGTCTCTCAAATTCAGTTAATTTGAAAATTTTTTTATGACAAGGCAAGGTTAGTTCAGGTTATAAAATGTAATGTGGTGTGACTCCTCAACAACTGCATATTATTTATGAATTAATCATTCATGATATTGGATTAAAAAAATTATGTTGAAAGGTATATATTTGTATGATCTCATTCGTACGTTTCTTTATGATCTGCTTACGCACAACTAAAGCCCTGTTCGTAAGAAATACAATAATTACAATGTTAACGATAACTATAAAGTTTTAGTAATCATTCAAATTCTATGAGAATAGAAAAGGCCACGTCACAAATATAACAATAAAAACATTGGCAGCCAATCATAGTCCACCTCACTTTAAAGAGCTTGAGCATTTAAAGCGGCAAAGGACAAAATTGCAGCACATGCTTAGAATAAATAGAACATTATCGTCCATTTACACTAATATCGTTATCATTATAGTTATCATTCTTGGTGTGAACAGGCCTTATAGGGATAGTTCACCCAAAAATAAAAATACTGCCATCATTCACTCACCCTCAACTTGTTCTAAACCTGTAAGAGTTTATTTTGTGTTGAGCACAAAATAAGATAGTTTGAAGAATGTTGGTAACCAAATAGTTGGATTGACTTCCATAGTATGAAAAAAATGTCAACTGTTTGGTTACCAACATTCTTCAAAGTATTCTTTTGTGTTCAGCAGAAGAAAGAATCATACACGTTTGGAACAACTTGAGGGTGAGAAAATGAACTATCCCTTTAAGGGTTAGGTTTAGAGGTGGACCTCTGTTTTTTAGTCTTTCTAAAAGTCTTACATTTTCAACTCAAATCATACAAACACTACCAATTTGCCAAAATATAAAATAGCAATGCTTTCTCATGAGATCAGGTTGTTATCTATACAAATGTATGTACAATCATAACTGATAATGCAAGTTAAATACAGTTAAATTGCATGTGCTGAAATTCTTGCTCCAGGTCTTCTATGATATCCTCTACCAAATGAGCCATGACTGTTGAAATCTACTGAAATGCAGATGAGAAGCTAATTTAAATAAATAACGATAGAAAAAGTAACATTTGCGTAGATGTGCAGTTTGCCAATTCTCTCTCTGTGTGATGCCGAGAGCAGAGTCCGTGGCCTCATTACATGCTTTCTCAATTACAGCTATTCATTGCTGGCAGAGGTCCGCTCAACTTGTTTTGACAATGGCACTATGCAGCTGTGAAAAACCTCTTTCACTTATTCTGAGCACTATGTGCTCTCTTTTCTGATTGTGAGCTTATTAGTGGAAGCTGTTAGTCTGCTGATTGTATTTTTCAAACTGCAACGAAGAAGTGTTGCTGTAACTGTGATTCTCAAAATTAGAGCACATTAGATAAACCATCTCTGCTGTTCAATGGTTTCATTGCTAAATTCTGCCAGTAGCTATACTTAACTTTAACTACACAGTCATTATCCAAAACCGTCTAAAGATATGTCAGCCAACCTGAATATTCAAAATGATTCACAGGCAGAAAACATTTATGATTGGCTAGTTTTCTGAGGGATGTTCCCCTGATTGTCTATATTGTTTACAAAGCCTATATGGTTAGCTTAGCCTTTAGCCTGTGACACAAAGATGTTTGATTTCACAGGACACAGTGATATCTGTCAGGTTATGTGGACATTTTACTATATGTATTCTAAAATAATCACCTAAAGCTGCTTTAATTTAGCTAAAATCAGTGTTAGTTGCTAATATTTTAAAAAGTTTATGTTGTAATAATATTGAGAGGAATTTTATGAACCCTAACGTGTTAAAGGGATAGTTCACCTTCAGTTGCTGGTCCCCATTGACTTCCATATATGGGAAAAAAACACTATGCAAGTCAATGGGGACCAGCAACTGAAGGTGAACTATCCCTTAAAGAAAATGAAAATAGTGCCTGTCTTTAAATAATCATCCACCTCTTTTTTTTCTGTGGGCAGGAGCCTTCATTTTCTTTACCAGGATATGACATCACACTCAGGGGCAATATGCTGTACACTTGATTTGTGACTATATACATTAGCATTTGATGAGCAGGTTAACTGTGATATCCATGAGCTCTTCAGGTGTGTTGGATTAGTGCATGTTTGCAGATTGCAATGAACAAACTTTACAAGCCATCACATTTGTGTATATCAATACTGTAGACAAGCATCTGACAAAAAACATAATTTTATAGAATTATTATTTTTTTTCATCTAGGTGATTGTCATTTCCCAATTCCCATTATAAAATATAGAACTTAATAAATGACAGCAAAATATTAGCCTCAACCCAGTGATTTATAAATCACACTGAACCAGTGAACACTAGATGTGCCACTATTTAGTGGGGGGGAAAATCTAATAATAATAATAATAATAGCAACAACAATTATTATTATTACATTGTATTATACTAATTTAGATTATAGAATCTATTATTATAGATTACAACTACTGCTAGTAATAATAATTTGTCATTGATGTTGTTGACATCTTGGGATGAACTTAATT